TTGAGAGACAGAGATCTGTGGATACCGTCACTGATGAGCAAGAGGAAGATGTGTTGAATTGAGAGGGATTAGAGAGCCGACCAGTAAGAGAGGAAGAATGATGCGTATGAGAGAAAGAATGATGCTTTGTTGAAATTAAAGGTCACTGGTCCAGTAAGGCGAGGAAGAAGGATATCTGTTGCGGCTGGATGTGGGAACTCAAATAGTCAAATGTAATTAATGGTTGATACATATATAATATATATGTGATGATAGGGTAATCATGTCAGTGGAGTTGGGCTTAAGTTAAAAGAATTTGGGCTTAATGAAGAATCAAGTTGCCCTTAAGTTAAAAGAATTTGGGCTTAATGAAGAATCAAGTTGGGCTTATGAACACACAGTTTGGACTGAATTTATATTATATGAGCTAATAAAATTGTATAGAAAACTTTTAAAAAATAAATAAATAAACCTTTTACTAAACGAGCCTATTCACGAGCCTAATGAGCCGAGCTTAGCATTGTTCAAGCTCGGCTCGTTTACTAAACGAGCCTTAAAAATGTGTTCAAGTTCGGCTCGTTTACTAAACAAATGAGCCCGAGCCGAGCTTTTAACGAGTCGCGCCCGAGCATGAATAGATCGGTTCATTTACAGCCCTAAGAACGGTCAATTACAGGTCCGACAGAGATAGGTATGTTGGGTCTCCATGGAGATAGGTAAGTCGGGTCACCACCTTCTTACTTTGACCATGGGTAACCCATCATCTCCGATCCTTAGCATTGCCAGCATCAACTCTGTTCTGAAATGTTAGAGATATAGATGGAGATGGAGATACTATAGATAGAGAGAGGGCAGAAGAAAGAAAGAAAGAAAGAAAGAAAGTGATAAAGATAAAAGAGATTTTAGGCATAAATAAGAAGTGACGTGGTATTGCCACATCAAAGTAGGTCTGCATTTCGGTTATTTTGATCGGACAAAGTATCATTACTTTTAAATCAAACAATTAATCAAGCACCCCAATAGTCTTGAGTATTTAATAAAGCATTTAAATAGAGCCTTTATTGAGGCCTTAGTAGACTAGTAGTGAAGACACAATTCAATTTGGAGGTTAGGAAATATTTATTTTGCCATTATGACTTCTCAGACATATGTAATGTCTCCTCGTGCTACTTAATAAGGCCTTGGCACACGTTACACGAGGCACGCATTGGATTTGCATGGCTTAGCACCACCCCAAGGTGGTGGCCCTCGAATGCGGCATTCGGCGGTGCACCAACAACATTAAAGGGTGGGCAACGCGCGGGGGTAAACATGCCGTGCACGCGCGCGTGTATTTTGTGCGCATGTGTGCCCCAAGTTTTGTGCATGGCATGCCATGCCATGCATGCATAAGTCCTTGGGTGTGTTACCCTGCCCTTATGTAAGATTGTGACTTCAGATGTGACAAACATTGACGGACTATGGTGTGAACTATGTGTGGGCAAAACTTGGTTAAGGCAATGAGCAAGGAGGACCACATGTGAGCATTCGAATTTGTGGGCTTGACTTGGTGGTGTGTGACTCTTGGGGCATGGCCAAGGCCATGACACCCACAAGACAACAGAGAGTACTTATAATCATTTGTGATAGCTTGTCTCAAATAAGGCACGTGGCTTATAATTAGATGTGTCTTGATCCTATTGGTTCTCTTTCCCAGCTGTTGGAGATATCAACTGCATGATTATGTTATCTGGTGCTCATTGGCCAAAATGCGTGTCTTATTCAGAAACAAAAAGGGAAGTTGAGGGAGGAAACTTACATCATGGGTTATAGGCATTTGATTGTTTCAGGTGGTTATTTGGTTGGGTTTGTCAACCAACAATGTTATGTCTATGGGCAAACATGTGCATGGTAGTTTTTCGGCGATTTTGCTGAGATGCCTATATAACTATAGATTGGGGGCATGTTTGGGCAGAGAGTGAAGTTCATGGTTGATACATGGTCTTGAGTTCCTAGTACGAATTTGGTGTGTTTTGTATCATCCATTGTGAATAAATCAAAGGTTGGGACTGCTTGTCTTGTAAATCTTTGTGCCTTTGTTTTTTGTGTATTGAGTATGTGTGTGTTGGCTAAGACTTAGTGGCCCTAAGTGCCAACATAGTGCGAAAATTTATGTAATAAAATTGACCCATGTAACAAACATCTTAGATATATATAGCACATATTAAGAACTTTTCATTGTCAAAGATAAACTACCATTGTGGAATTATAAGAGAATTCATCGATCATTAGAAGAGAGCGAGATTATGAGGAGCAAAGTAAGGAATCCCTACAAAGATATCACACCCAATTGTTATGCATTAGATCTATTCACTTCAACGGTGGAGATCACTTGTTATAAAAGGTGAGGGGTTGTGCACCACCATGGTCGAACTCATTCTAGGGTTTGAGGAGATAGAGAAGAATGTGTGAATGAAAGAGATCACTTTTCTAAATAAATAATGGTTTTACAAATTATCCTTAAAAGTTCATTTATTAATATTTAAGTTTGATGACTATTTTATCTTTGTGGTCACTTTAGAGTAAATTTATTCAATTTAATAATAAAAGTTCAAGAGAGTAATTTTATCTAAATAAATAAAGGTTTTACAAAATTACCCTTAGAAGTTCATTTATTAATATTTAAGTTTGATGACTATTTTACCTTTGTGGTCACTTTAGAGTAATTTTATTTAGATTTGCTCATGCTAATTAAATTATATATTTAATAATGAAAGTCCAAGAGAGTAATTTTATCTAAATAATGGTTTTACAAAATTATCCTTAAAATTTCATTTATCAATATTTAAATTTGATGACTATTTTTCCTTTGTGATCACTTTAAAATAATTTTATTTAGGTTTGTTCACGCTGATTAAATTATATATTTAATAATGAAAGCCCAAGGGTGAAGGTATTACATGATGAGTTAATTACGAAAGAGCACAATAATCATGAGTTATAAGCAACCCATCAGCCGGCATAGGATCCAACGGTCTAGATTACTTGATTAAGTAACTGACCAAGCAACCCAAAAGTTTCTTTGATTCAATGATTATGATCAACTTGTTCCTAATGTCATGAGCTAATGAACACGTGCCAACACTTGGAGCTAGTACATTCATTCATCTCTACACATAAAGAAAGCATGATAAATAACTAAATCATGATTATTCAATTAGTCACGTTGATTTGAAAAATCAGTCGTCAAATTTTTTTCATTCTTAAAAAAATATATATATTTTTAAATTAATTTTATCAGATTTTTAAAAAGTATTTTACATTAAAAAAAAAAAAAAAAAAACAACAACGGGAGGGGAGGAGGAGTATGGAGTGAGTTGAATATAAGTGTAACAGGTGGACACTTACCCATTTACTCAAAAGCTCAAACTGTTAAATAATGCTACATACTTATCTATTTATATCCAATCACTTTCCCATCCGGATCCGATGTGGGACAAATGATCCTTGTATCATTCTCCCTCACATTCGTTGCGGTCAGAGGCCACCCTGCTTACCCACGTGACTATAATACTAACTGTAATAGGTAGACGCTTGTTCATTTATTAAGAAACTCAAACTATTAGATAATAATATATACTCATTTATTTATACTCAATTGCTTTTCTATTCGAATTCGACGTAAAACAAATAATACATGTTTCTTCCAATTGAATACCGAATAATGTCATTTTTTATTTATTATCATGCAAAGCATTATAATTTTTTTAAAAAAATAATCCACCAACTTTAAATGTGAATTAACAATTGTACGAGGACAAATTAATTACTCCCTCCCTTCTATAGCAAATGTCCGAGAGTTATGACCCGGACGCTTGTTTTGGAATGGAGTGAGGGAGTATTTATTTGCAGGCCTCAAAACAGTGAAGGCTTGTACTTCCTTTGCGTTTTTTAGTGGCTATTACATTATGAGCCATCGTGATCTAAGTTGTTGGGTTTTATAATATAATAACTGCATGTCATGGGCCATGTTTGTTTTTTTAGTTTTTATCATTTGTCATTTTCTGAATTACTACTACAAACTTATCCTCCATTAATCGTTATCTAAAACATCCGACAAACGTTTTCCACACGATATAGACGGTAGTGTATTATATTTGACCCATACCCAACCCATATAGATATAGCCTCACAACCACCCCATCCATGGTTTAACTTCACCACATTTTTTTTATTCACCACCCCACTGCAAGTGAAATCAAGATCAAATGTATTCACTTTTAAGCCACAAATATATATATATATATTTTTTTTCTAGAATTTAAGTCACAAAATTTGAAAATAAAGATGGTGATTGTGTGTGCATGCAGGAGTGCACACACGATTCGGTTTGTTCAAATTTTAAATGACTTTAATAGTTTCAGAAATTTTGTAATCGAACTAAATCATTTGAAGTAGTGGAATTGAATGAACCAAACCCTAGTGATCAATTTGTTGTGGAGACTTCAGAGATACACGAGATGGATTGTCTAAGCTTCAAAGTTGGAAATCTAAAGAATTAACTGAAGTGGTAAGTCAATTTACCTTGAAAAAAAAATCGTGTCTAGGATTGGACTTTTCTTGTGTGTAAACAATTCATTTAAGAATTAGTGTAAATATCAATTACAAAAAAAAAAAAAAAAACCCCTTTCAGGGTTGGGCACTTTTTCTTCGACCTAATAAGATCCTTAAAGAGCAAAGCATCCATTTTTTTTTTTGGTAATAATAATAATCACAAAGATCAAATGTTTTTATTTAATTAATGTATCTTAATAATATGTATCCGACATTGATTGGATCTTTCTGAGTACTTTAGGGGTGATCTGCGAAAGAATCAATATGGAGGTATGAGTAATAATACCCAAGAATCTATCTCAACAAACAGTCAACTACCAATCAAAGTTGGACCAAAGTAACCCACTGTCAACTACCATTCTTCTTCATTCAATTTTCTTTCTCACCTCCCATTCTTCAAAAGGGTCCAAAATCTGAATACCATGTCTTGTGGAATATTTGCCTCTCCTATTAATACCACTTACAACCCAAACCCTCTAATTCCAAACCACACTCACAGTTTTTTTTCTCATCTTCTCTTAGCTTCAACAAATCAATCATTACACCTTCAAATCCTCTTACAATTTTCCAACTTTGATGGCTGAAATGGAACATTCTGCTTCTTCTGATGATGTCTCTGTGGACTCTATAGGTACCCATTTCAGATTATTGCTTGTTTTCACTTCCCCTTGTCTTTGCATGTTGATTTAACAGTACTCTATGAAAATTAATAGTTAAAATGATTTAATTTGATGGTATTCTATAAAAATTAAAGTTTTTTTATATTTATTTTTTATTCTCTCTCTATGGTTATGGACAGCCAAGGATACCAGTCAAGAATCAAAGGTTGAATTTTCAGAAGACGAGGAAACCCTGATTATTAGGATGTACAATCTGGTTGGAGAGAGGTGTGTGTGTGTGTGTGTTTTATTCGCTTTGTGAGTGTTTTAAGTTTGAATGAGTCTCTAACACAATTTTATGACCCTATAGGTGGTCTCTTATTGCTGGGAGGATTCCTGGAAGAAGTGCAGAGGAAATTGAGAAGTATTGGACTACAAGATATTCCACAAGCCAATGAATATGCAGGAAAAGCTTTGGTGATTTCTCTGCTAGAGCAAGAAAATTTTTGGGGTTGGTGTTTGTATTGTTTGGTTGTGTTAAATTTGTCTGTTTTCTTTGCTCCAAGAAAGAAAAATCTGGGTGTTGGTTTCTAGTTATAGTTTGTACAATTATTCATATTGGTATAATGATGTTTGGTGTTTGGTTTGCAGTTATCTGTTCTGTACTATGAATTATTTGAAATGTTTATTCAAATCCACATAAATTTAAAGAATAACAAGTTAATATCATCCGGGAAAAAGAGTCCATTTAAAAAAGGTAGGAGCTATTTGTGGTCCAGAGAGTGACACTGTTAGAGGGATTAATATCAGTCAGCATTTTTTTTGGGTATAAAATTGCCCTGGACAATCCAATGGTGTGGTGATGAACCATTCAACAAAACTGTTATAAGTGCGGATTAAAACAGGGTAATGAATCTTAATCGAATTTAACGTGAATTCATGAGGTTTTAGGTTAATTTTGTTGATTGCTGTTTGTCTTGAAGCGGATATGATATTATTTTATTTTCTTAATCGAATTATAATTAATATGAAAATCCAAATCAACTTTAGTATTTGTTGCTCATGCCTATACTATCTTGGCAAAACCTCTGTTCTCTCTTCCAAAACTAGTTAAAGTTTATCCTTAAACAAAACTGAAATTCTAAGGATAAAATTAAAAAATAATAATAATAATTTGGATTCGATATTATAACACCTCAACTAGTTCTGAATGAAAGCATCATAAAGAAACACGGTTTCTTAAACAACGGTTACTTTTATCACCTTAAAAAAAACCCTAGAATATCGGTTTAGCAACAGTGGAAACAACAACAATAGAATGAAAAATAAAAATTGACCGAATAATAGGTCGTGATACAAATGACACTTGCACAGACCGTTTGCGAGAGAGAATTTTTTACTTTGTTGAAGGCTCTCCCACTACTAAAGGTTGTTGCTTACAAATGAAACACTAATCATTTTTATAGGCATCTTAGTCTCCTCTACACAAATATTCTAAATATTTACTCACTACAAAATTTTCTACCATTCTAAAAATATTCTATACTTTGAACAAATATCTATATCTCCCTAAAATCTTCCAACAATACTCCATAATCTTCGCACAAATACGAAAGATTCTACAACTCCATTCTCCTCATGGACTTCATGCAGAGAGTCCTTCCTAGCAATCGCAATCATGGCAAAATCCAACTCCTTTTGGTTTGACAATTGGACCAAGAAGAGGCCAAACTTGTTAATTTTTGGTCCACCAGCCCGTTGTAATTGGACCTGAGAATGTAAAGACTGCTTGGTCCACTAGCCGAAGAGTAATTGGACCTTAAAGTGTGTGACTGTTGTTTGGTCCAAATTTCATGAAACCTGTCTCCAGTTTGGATTTTGGATCTCAAATAGTGCCATTATGATGGTTTGCCTGAAATCTGGCTGAAGTTTTGCAATAAAAATGGGCTTTGATGATGAAATTGCCTGAGTTGTTGAAACATGCAACAAATTGATCCAAAAACCTCACATTTAAGCGGACAAATATTTTTCAACTCATTATTGTCCACGGGATTATTATGGTTTACTGTAAAACAATTTAAAAATATATATGAAACAACTATTTATGCTTACTCACAGTAAGATTTCTAAAATTTCATTCTCATAACTGACATGATATGAAATTAGATCATATTATATTTATTATTTTATTTGACATCAATTTGACTTCCCTAAAACATATTGTTTTTCTTTTTATTTAGTTAATTTTTAGTTTTATAAAATGGTGTGAACTAATGATATCATGTTACATCAACACTAAAGAAAAACTTATTCTCTATGTGAGTTTGGTTAGATGGAAATAGTAAGAAAAGAAAGAAAATGAGAAGTTTCTGAAAACTATTTTGCATAATCATCTAACTTTTTCGTAAAATTGTTTAACCTTTCGGAAAAAAACAAAAAAAAACTTTTTCCGTAAATTTTTCTTACAAAAAAACACTCAAATGTTTTGATTTTTTTGAAAAAGTTTAATGAACTTGCAATATTAATACATTTTCTTTTATAATAAGTTTAGTGCTATTCAAATTATAAAATGACAATTTTTCATAAATTTTTTGAATATTTTAATATTAATCAAATACATGATGAAAAACTTACTTTCACTTTCCACTATTAATTTTTGTTGATGCGAAAATCCTCACGACTCGGAACGACGGCGTTTACCTGTAAAACAAAGGGACGTTACCTCGAATGGCACCGGTGGGGTGCCAGCCGAGAACCCTCCGATGATTAAGTTAGTATTTGTAATTGTATCACATAATCGTCATGTAATATTCTGTTTAGGGGTTTTTTCTCGTACCTTCTTTAACGGCTCGGTACCCTATTTATGGTTGTCGATTGGAATCAAATTGGTTCTGCAGGAGATCCGCTTGTGCAAGATCAGAGGAGATCATTTGTTGCCAGATTTGTCGAGGATATGATTTACTCCTTTGACTTTCTCAAATTGTGCCCAGGTTATCCTTACCCTATTGAACCACGTTGTCATTCATTATCCTAGATAAGAAATGTTATCATTCTTATCCGATGAAAATCTTTATCTCTGATAACGAAATATGTTAAAGAAGTCTGGCGACTGGTCAAGGTAGGTTAGGTTTATTTTTCCCTATCAGTTGCCCCCCATTCCCAAACTTGGTCATCTAGCTTTGGGAATGTAAATTTTTTTTATTTTATTTTTGCCCTAGGCACTGTTCCCTCGGGAATAATGCTTGCGGGTATTGTTCATGTGAACAGTTTTTTTTTTTTTTTTTTCACCCTGGGTACTGTTCCCTTGAGTACTATTTTTGGTACCCTTGGGTACTATTTTTAGTACCCTTGGGTACTCTGCCCCTGGGTACTATTTTTGATACCCTTAGATAATCTTTCCCTAGGTACTATTTTTGGTACCCTTGGGTACTCTGCCCTTGGGTCCCTAAGTACTATTTTTGGTACCATTGGGTACTCTTTCCTTGGTAAGGGAATAAATTGTACGAGTTTCACTCAGGTCGTCACTCCTTTAATAAGGGAATTAAATTTTACGAGCTTTACTCAACTCGTTCCTTTAATAAAGAATTTTTATTTACTAAACCTCATAGTAAGGGAATATTGATTACGGGATTCATTCAACCCGGGTCCTTGTAATACATGACACTTATTTACCGTCCCTTATAGTACAGGGATATTACTTACGGGATTCATTCAGCCCGGGTCCTTGTAGTACGTGATATTTATTTACTATCACTTATAGTACGGGGATATTAATTACGGGATTCATTCAACCCGGGTCCTTGTAATATATGACATTTATTTATTATCCCTTATAGTACGGGAATATTGATTACGGGATTCATTCAGCCCTGGTCTTTGTAATATAGGACATTTATTTACTATCCCTTATAGTACGGGGATATTGATTACGGGATTCATTCAGCCCGGGTCTTTGTAGTATAGGACATTTATTTACTATCCCTTATAGTACGGGGATATTGATTACGGGATTCATTTAGCCCGGGTCCTTTCAATACAGGACACTCATTATCATCTCTTATATCCCTTTAGTAAGGGAATTAGATTTTTGTTAAGCGTCGGGAATGCCAAGTCCTACTAAGCGAAGCATGCTTGATGATTCTTTCTTGCACCTTTTAATAAGGGAAGTGGATTTGCTCGAGCGTTGTGAGCTCTCCCTTTAATAAGGGAGTAGTTAATCCGTCGTCTTTTTACTGAGGGAAGAAGATGAAGTTGACCCTTCTTTCCTTTATAAGGAAAGAGGTGCAGCCTGAAGGAGGGTGACCCATTTAATACGAGAGGTAGTCGTCTCGTCTTTCTAGTAAATGAAGGAAGCTTTAATTATCTCACCCTTCTGTGTAGAAGGAGTAGTCGACTTCTTGTCCCTTTAATGAGGGAAAAATGTGTTATTGGCCTCTCGTCCTGGACGACTAGTGCATTGAGGGGTCGCTAAAGGAGAGAGACTAGAAACCCAACTAGCTCGATGTACCAAGGTTGGTACATCAATCTTCTAGACCTTGTCATCATATGCAGATCGACGATTGATATCGTGTGATTCACTATTCTGCCCCCGATGGTGGGATCTTGGGTGATGACCCATTCTATAGACGTTTATACAACGGACGGGGTGCCTGGTGCTGCCATGGATTATCAATCCAAAGTTCTGTATAATCTGAAGTCGATAGGTAATTCCTGTAAAGGAAAAGAGGTGACGACTATCGTTTGGTAGGTGGAGGCTTGGTGTCCAGCGATTAGCATGATGGGAACGTGGTACCCAACGGCTGACAGATGATGGTCTGGTGGCCAGTACCTCGTTGGGTCCAATGATCGCCCTTCACTCAGGAACCTCCTTGGAAATACAGACCTCATAAGATTTGGAGGGACATTAGACCTCCTTGGACCTAAAGGCCTCGATACATTCTTGGGTGTAGAAAACTACCCTGATTGCACGAACGGACGGAGTAATGAGACTCTGTTGCTAGAGACATCCTCAATGGTAGAGACTTTACTAGTAGGTAGAAACCCCCTTGTTAGTAGTGATCCTCTTGAAGGGTGGAGACCAACTCATTTATGTAGGCGCAGAAGGACCAGGCCTTAGTCTTCAACAATCAGGCCTTGGTAGTTGGCTGTTGCCACATATGATATAGAGTTTAGTCTTAGACGACCAAACCTCAGTAGTGAGGGAACCAAGCATCGGTAGATGGAAAACACCACACTGGATTGCCTGGGTCGACGTGCCAAATTTTGATTATTGTCATCGTACACTAGGTGGTATCACGCAACCCACCGTTTTGCCCCCAATATGATAGACGAGTAATCATGATGTAGAGATCTGTCCTTATATAAAAACATGGAACCTGTTGTCAACTGATGACTTTGGGATGGTTTCCATAATCGGAAACTTTCGTCTTGCCGTCTGAGCCAAGTCGCATCAGGATTATTATTTCTTCAGAGAACTAATCAGTTCACACAGATGGCGCTAGCTGTTGATGTGAAAATCCTTGCAACTCGGAACACGGTGTTTACATGCAAAACAAAGGGACTTCACCTCAAATGACACCGGTGGGGTGCCAGCCGAGAACCCTCCGACGATCAAGTTAGTACTTATAATCGTATCACATAATCATCATGTAATA